GGAGCTCGCGCGCACGCCGCCGGGTGATCGCAGGCCCAAGTGATGATTTTTTAAGTAACACATACTTGTGTGTAAAAAATAATGCTTTACTTTTTCTTTCATTTGGCTCTGTATTAAAGGATTTTTATTTATTGAATAATTTATAATATAGGACTATTTTTTGGAGGGAGGATTTTAAATTTTCCATTTAAAATTTTCCTCCAGTTTTGGAGTTGTGTATTTTAAGCTGACTGCCACTCATTAATTCAACTGGATTTTAAACACTGCCTTGCTTTGTAAAGCAACAAGATGTCCCAGCCTCACTTTGAGTTTTTCCTCTCCTGGGCCTGAGATCTTCTGTTTGTCACCCCAGCCATGGCTCTTTGTTTTTTTTCAGTGGGTCCTCTGTATGTGGGGGAGTAGATGACAACACATAGCCAGGTAATTGACAACCCTGACTTAGCCTTTACCTTCTGTGTGCAGACCTTCCAAGCTAATCAGAGGTGAGAGTTTAAGACCTTCTTGGGTCTTTTCTGAGTATACACATAGCCCTAGATGTACATATGGCCTTCTAGATTCCCAGAAGTATATTGGTGCTCTTCAAAACTGCCGGTGGGCATTTCATCCCCAGGTTTTTCTTTTAAACTTTTTGGTTAGCTTATTGTTTTCTCCAACTGTTTTCCATTACTTCATGCAGCCTCAACTTTAAACAACTACCTCTGATTGTTTTGGTCAAGATCCCCAAGGGAAACGTGGTTTACACTGGGCAAGCTCACAGTTAGGTAAAATAAAGACAGCTTTGTGAGTGAGGGCTTCGAGGGAACCCTGTACAGGTCCAGTAATGACAGTTGGGAATTGGGCTTGGGAGGAGCTCCAAACTCATTCCAGCTCCTTCAGAGTCTGGCAAGTTTTTGCTTTTCACAGTGGTGATGGGCTCTTGTTTTTAAGGTTACTATGGAGGTGGAACCTGGGAGAGACAGGAATAAACAAGTTAATGTGCCTTTAAACTCCCTGTTTTCACTGTGTTTTTCTTGCATAATTGCTGCCCAGACTGTTGCCAGCTTTTGATTGATTTCCAGAGTTTTGAAAATGTTGATTCTGACAATTTTTGAAAATGTTTTCTTTGCTTTTATGGAGGGGTGTGTGTGTGTGTGTGTGTGTGTG